AAACAAGTTGTAACCTAAATATTATGCAGAACATATTACTTCAGCTGAAGTATTTGTATCAATGGAGGCCGAAAGACTCCACTTGCCACATATTTATATGATTTTAGGATTTATTTTTCCACAAAATGTGTTGCTCACTGTTCAATAAAAAGTATATTTCAATATATATATATTTTTGCCCCCATTTTTCATGAGCTGAACTCAAAGGTCTAAGACTTTTTCTATGTACACAAAAGGCCTATTTCTCTCAAATATTGTTCACAAATCTGTCTAAATCTGTGTTAGTGAGCACTTCTCCTTTGCCGAGATAATCCATCCACCTCATAGGTGTGGCATATCAAGATGCTGATTAGACAGCATGATTATTGCACAGGTGTGCCTTAGGCTGGCCACAATAAAAGGCCACTCTAAAATCCGAAAACCAGTCAGTATCTGGTGTGACCACCATTTGCCTCACGCAGTGCAACACATCTCCTTCGCATAGAGTTGATCAGGTTGTTGATTGTGGCCTGTGGAATGTTGGTCCACTCCTCTTCAATGGCTGTGCGAAGTTGCTGGATATTGGCAGGAACTGGAACACGCTGTCGTATATGCCGATCCAGAGCATCCCAAACATGCTCAATGGGTGACATGTCCAGTGAGTATGCTGGCCATGCAAGAACTGGGATGTTTTCAGCTTCCAGGAATTGTGTACAGATCCTTGCAACATGGGGCCGTGCATTATCATGCTGCAACTCCATAGAACATAAAAGAAGAATTTTTGCAGACTTTTCCAGCATTTTGTTTCCATTTGCTTGGCTGCTTTAGATCATGTCAGGAATCAACTTAGGGCCAGTTGCATAAACACAACCATTATGTTAAGACTGTCTTAAGAACTGGTTTGACCAGCCAGCGACTAGGAATGTTCAGTCTTACTTTTCAATCTCAGTACTTTTCATCTAATAATTAAATTTTATTTGATTTTAATGAATAAAAGTTATTTTTTAATAGTTTCAGTTTAAATAAACTGGTATAAGCATGTAAAAGGCTCCAATATATGCCCTCGTCTGTGTTAATTTTTCACCAAAAAGCATCAGTCATCAATTTTTACTGACGTGCAGTGGCAACAGAGTGATTAATGTCATGCTGACATTCTTCTGACAGCTCTGTGCCAGAGCCAAGTGGGACATGCTAGGACACTGCTCAGTTATGGATCTAGCTGTCAGGTTTTGATAGAATCTAAGCTGCTTTAATAACAGAAGAGCTTTTGAATCCATCGTTTTATCAGCAAAGCTTTCAAATTTAGGGCAATGTGACATATTAATGAAAAATGTACCAAAACCGCCCATTTGAGGTTTGAAGATTAGAGCAAAAGGTTGCAAGTCTCCTCTCGATGTGACTGACAGAAAGGCCCTCAAACTGCAAGAGCTTTTGCTCAGATTGTTGCATCTGTTATTGTCCCATGAGCCCACAGGCTGTAATAGCTTTTGTGTCTGCTTTTCTAGTCTCGCTGGGTTCGGCTTTATTAGTTCCTGCCAGGGTCTGGCCCACTTTGCTTTGCTGTCTGTGTTCAAACAAAGTTATTATCTAATGAAGGCTACTATGGGACAGAAAGACCCCCCCCCAAACAGTAGCACATTATGTAAAATGGGTATAATTTTTCACGGTCCAAAGATGAACGAGCACAATTAGCCACATGCCTGCCTTGACACAAAAAGCAAATCGCCGCGAGTCCTACAGAGCACTAAATGTGACCAGAGGCTCAACCATCAGTAACACTCCGATCATTAGCAACAGGGGTGTGTAAAACTACATACTAGACCTAGAGACTTAAGATATTTATCACATTGATACGCCTTTATCATAGTCCTTACAAAAAACGATTAGGCCTATGCTTAATAACAGGAGCAATGTTCACAGCAGGCATTCACAGCATTTGAAGTCAATAATTGACAATCATTTTCTCTAATTTATTGTCAAAGGTGGTGGATTTTTTTAAGAAAGGCGATTCTTTGATGGTTGTAGTAGTTTTGTTTTAAAAGGGGATGGATTTAAAGAAAGTTTTCAGAGTTTTACTATGCAGGCAGCCTAACGGCTACTATCAGAGTAGTTGTCAAACTAAAATATAGCATGCTAAAAGTGCAGGGGAAAATGTCTCTAAACCCATCCATGTTAAACCGCTGCTTAAAGAAAAAGTAAAGCTAAAAAATGAAAACTATTTAACTTCACAAATCAATCACTCAACTAATCAATCCTTAGCAGGGTTTAGCTAATTAGCATCAGCAGTCAGCCTGTGCTGGGAGATGCCATACTGTAACTACACCATTATGGGGACATAAAAACTCATCTTACTCCACTGACTCTAAGTTCCTTTACTAGCTGCTAATAAACTTACCTTGACACTAAATATTGCTAAGATTAATAGTAGGTACTATTATGGGTGCAAAATGGTTATATGTACACCAAAGTGCATTTTATTTTATTTTACTCTAAACTAAATGGCACAAAAACTCACAACAAAAGTTTTGTTGTTTTCAATAACAATAGAAAATGTAAAAGTATGGTATTTGGGGTAAAAATTGCCTCTACTGCAGGGGCTAAAGGCACAATAATTTAAGTGATTATAAATAGCGGACTGATTTCCATTTGTTTGTCACCTAAAAAATGTTAATTACCCCATGATTTACTCACCCTCAAGCCATCCTAGGTGTATATGACTTTCTGGTAGCAATTAATGGAATGCGATTATCATGCGCATCTCATCAGTAAAGCCGGATCTGTGATCAGTAGTAAATCTCCAGCACGTGCTTTCAGATGGAGCGGCATTTACTACACAGAGCCGTAGTTCACTGACTATATTGCGTTCATTATCGCAGGCAAATCGTCTACAATTATGAACGCAATATTGCGTAGCTTGTCAGTGCTGCTCCATCTGAAAGCACATGATGGAGATTTACTACTAATCACAGAACCGGCTTTACTGACGAGATGCGCATGAATATCGCATTCCATTAATTGCACAACCCTACGTTCGTTCACGAGAGAGAAGTTCCAGCAGATGATGTAGGATGTAGGCGCAAGCACCAGTGAGAATATGCTAGTCTTGTGAGAACCAAAGGAAGACCAGTCTCCTCTTGGTTTTTATCAAAATCCTCGTCTAATTCGTGACTGGTGTTTTGTTCTGCTCTCTCTCTGTGCTTCCGTGTACATCACTTCTCAGAGTTTACGCTATGTCTACGCTATGTCTTACATCATCTGCTGGAACGTCTCTCTCGTGAAAGAGCGTACGACAGTTAGCAAAGTTAGAGGTTACAGTGTATAAAGTTTTAAATATGGATATTTTTCTTATAAAAACGCATCGATTTGCTTCAGGAGGTGTTTATTAACCCCCCGGAGCTATGTGGAACTGATGGATGGATGCACTTTATTGGATTTCTATTGGACTATTGAATATCAACAGCCATTCACTGCCATTATAAAGCTTGGAAGAGCCAGGATATTTAACTCCAATTGTTCTCGTCTGAAAGAAGAATGTCATATACACAAAGGATGGCTTGAGGGTCAGTAAATCATGGGGTAGTTGTCATTTTTTGGTGAACTATCCCTTTAAGCTGTTTATCCATCTTATAGATAATCACCATGTATAGAAGGAAACCATTATATTTAAAAACATTACATTATTCATAAAAATATTTTTATTGTTATTACTGTAAACCCATACTAGATTATTATGGGATTTCCTTTAAGCGGTGTGTGAAGCTTTCAAAATCTTTGTTTTTTAATGTTTTTTTTCCTGTATTCTAAATGACAGATTATTTTATCAAAATTAACAGTATACAGTACAAAATTTGCTGAAGGGGATGTTTTAAACAAGTTGTAACCTAAATATTATGCAGAACATATTACTTCAGCTGAAGTATTTGTATCAATGGAGGCCGAAAGACTCCACTTGCCACATATTTATATGATTTTAGGATTTATTTTTCCACAAAATGTGTTGCTCACTGTTCAATAAAAAGTATATTTCAATATATATATATTTTTGCCCCCATTTTTCATGAGCTGAACTCAAAGGTCTAAGACTTTTTCTATGTACACAAAAGGCCTATTTCTCTCAAATATTGTTCACAAATCTGTCTAAATCTGTGTTAGTGAGCACTTCTCCTTTGCCGAGATAATCCATCCACTAAGCTATGCCATTTGCCCTGTTCTACCTTATATTAAATGTGCATTTGTTTTCTCAATATTTTTGTTGCCATGTTTTATCCAAGCCCATTTAAGCAGGTTTTTAGCTACTTGGCTTAAAAAAACAGATAGTTCACCCAAAAATCTGTCATCATTAACTCTCCCTCCTGTTGTTCTAAACTAGAATGAGTTCCATTGTTGTGCAGAACACAAATGAAGATATTTGAAGAATGTGTAAAGTGTTTTTGTTCATAATGAAAGTCTTCTAAAGCAGCTACTATAAAATTAGTAGCAGCTCTCTCGTGGGTCTGTATTTTCACATTCCTCCAATGTTTCTTCATCACTCTTACATGTAAACAGCATAAAGCAGCCCACTTATAGCTGTGCAAATACATCTACTGACTAAATGTGCCAGTCGAACTGCTGTTGAGATGAATGGGAATACTAATGGATAGCTCTCTCTAAGTAAATTAGAACGGATTGACACAGACCCAGACAGTGAAAGCTGTGGCAAAGACACATATTGTTGAAACAAGTGAATGTGTGAATGTGACCCCAGTGAATGTGTGCCCTGTAGGTCTGCTGAACAGAGGAGCTACAGCAGTGTGATGTGTCTTTTGCTTCATGTAAAGAGAGCACTGATTGCTTTCAGTGGCCCCTCTGGCCTTCAGCGAGTCTATTTCCATTATCCCAGCAATCGATTCGCTGCAGCTCCACCATCTCTCTGCCCTTTACTGCAAACTTTACCCTCTCTCTTTCTCTCTCTCTCTGAATCACAGAGTTACTCATCTGTTACTCAAACACATCTGTGTTTTCTTTCTCTCTTTCCATCTCAGATGTTGCCAGGGCGATTGAGCTGCTGGAAAAATTGCAGGAGTCAGGTGACGTCCCGGGTCACAAGCTGCAGTCCCTGAAGAAGGTTCTACAGAGCGAGTTCTGCACAGCCATTAGAGAGGTGAGATCTACTTTATGCATTGCTGTCACCTCTAAAGTTTAGCACCATAAATATATCCTCATATATCACAGGAATAGTTTGTCCGAAAAATGAAAACTCTGTCATTGTTAACTTACATCTTACTCATTATTTTCTGTGGAATATAAAAAAAGATATTTAGAAAAATGTCCAGGCTGCTGTTTTCTTATGTTTATAAAAAATATCCAAGTCTTCTGAAGCCAAAGCTTAAGGTACAGCCTGAAATTTGGAATACCTTTTTCTGATTGGACAATTGTGGATATCTATGGGCTCTTTCTGCTCACATACTGAATCTTCAACTGAAACATTAAAGAGGTGGTTCACTGGTTTTTCTCTAGGCTTGATTGTGTTTATGGGGTGCAGTCTAACATGTGTTAATGCTTAGTTTAAAAAAAAACGCCTTATTTTTCACATAATTTACCTTTATTCCACACCGCTCTGTCCCTTCTCTGAGAAACGGGCTGATCTTGTCCTGTTTTTATGAAGCCCCACCCTCAGAAATAGGCGATGGGCTCTGATTGGTTAGCTAGCCCAGTGTGTTGTGATTGGCTAAACCGCCTCTAGTGCGTGTCTAATCGCCCACCCCTCACCTCAGCGGCATGTGCTCCGGTTGTATTGTATACAACGACGTCGTTAATATCGCTTATCAGTTTGAGCCCGATTGAGAAGCAGAGGATATTATTGAAGAGGATTGTGCAGAACCTGTGCAAGCATGGCTTTTAATGGTACACTCAAAAAAAAAAATCCGTAAAAAAACTGAAACAGTACTGGCAGCTCATTACCCGGACTTTGTACCGTAATTAAAAAAAACTAAATTTTCCATTAACTGCCCACAGTAAAAAAACAGGACTTTTTCTGTTTTAATGGTGCATCTATATATATGGGGGGAAAAACTTATAAAGCAAAAAAATTCAGCAAAATATATGAATTGAACATGGTTTATTTTTACTTCATGTAAACATTCTTAAAAATGCATTCAATGGCTTTTGTTTGCCTTAAATTGGTTAGGACAAAACGATTTCATCAATCAATTACTCAATTAAATAAATTAATTTAACAATGTGTCAAACACTGAAAAATGCCTGTATTGTGGAAGACAATTTAGCTTTAAACAGTAACAGACAGAATTAGAAAAAGAAAACATGAGCACTCGTACAATACTGGTGTTGCACCAAACAGTGGTCACAAAATTTAAACTTTACAAACTGTGAAACAGTCAAGATTCAAAACATTGAATTAGAAAATGAGCACTCGTACAATACTGGTGTTGCACCAAACAGTGGTCACAAAATTTAAACTTTACAAACTGTGAAACAGTCAAGATTCAAAACATTTTTTCCTATAAGAGAACACAATATTGTTTATAGGGATAGTTCACACAAAAATGTGAATTCTGTCATCAATTACTCATCTTCATACCATTCCAAACCCATAAGACTTTCATTCATCTTCAGAACACAAATGAAGAGTATTTTTAATGAAATCTGGGTGCTTTCTGTCCCTCTATTGATAGAATATACGCAACTACCACTTTCAAGGTCCAGAAAGGTATAAAGACATCAATAAAGTATGTGACTCCAGTGGCCTAACATCAATTTTAAGAAGTGATGCAAATTATTTGTGGGGAACAAAACAAAACAAAACAAATTATGTATTTTTTCTCACAATATGAAGATCTCAGACACATTCACAATGCACACATGTTGAGTTGACATGAGAGCAGATGTTCTGACAATACAACCCATCCCAGAAGCCTTGGTCTTGTTACAAGCAGAGGAAAAGGGACACTGTATGCAAGCCTCATGTATTAAAGGTCCTGTTTTTTTTGTTTTGTTTTTTTGCAATTGTGCTCACATTGGTGCCTTTTTAAAAATGGTGTCAACACAACACGCAAGCACTGTGGTTCTCTCGTGAACATGTGCAGGATCTATGATCTATGCTAAAGTGAAAATGTTTTGTGAACAAAGCACTCATGTTGCTTCTTAAAATTGATGTTAGGCCACTGGAGTCACATACTTTAATGATGTCTTTATAACTTTCTGGACCTTGAAAGTGGTAGTTGCGTAGGCTGTCAATGGAGGGACAGAAAGCACCCAGATTTCATTAAAATGATCTTCATTTGTGTTCCAAAAATGAACAAAAGTTTTACAGGTTTGGAACAACATGTAACAGAATTTTCTTATAATATTTTTGGTGAACTCTCTCTTTAAGTTAGATTACTAACCTGTAATTCATGCTAAATTATCTAAGTGTTAAACTTCAATTGGCATGATTCTGCAACAACGCTTTCGTGTACAGCATTTGAAAATATGAAACAAAGATTTGTTCACTCATGCTTGACATTTCAATGTGAAACTAAGAAAACTATACAATTTGAAGTAGGAGCTTGTGAGATGCAGGGCTCCATGTGTTTGTGCACTCTTAGTATACCTCTCACCATGTGCCAGTTTGAGGAAACTACTAAACACAGCCTCCAGGTTTTCTTCCCCCCCTTTATCTGCATGTTTAGTCCAAGTTCCATTTTGAGATTTGAAAAAAGCTCACATATTACATGGATTTTCGGAGTAATGCATAGCCACTTGGTTGCCTTCATCTCAACCTTCGTTCAGGATTTCTTCACAGGATATGACAAAAAATTAAATTAATGAAACTGAACAGAGTAACATGCAGGTTATAGATGGAAAAGCAATCATACAGTATTTTAAGTTCATTGACAGGGCCGCTGCTGGCCAAATGGGTGCCCTCAGCAGAATTGTATTATTGTGCCCCCTCCCTCAAATATTATGGAAGTAAAAAAAAAAACACTACTATAGGGGTCAAAATAGAACTTTAAAAAAATATAAAATGTAAATAAATTGCAATTAAATTGTATTATTTACAAATTACACTTGTGGCTCTAGATAGTTACCTATTGCTATGATTTTATTAATACAGTTGTCGGATTGATTTTATAGTCTCAAGCATTCAGAAATCATGCAAAAGAAAATGAAGCAGTTTTACTGCGATAAATCCATGGTTAATTTTTGTAAGGGTTGTGATGTCCATGTGATTTTGTTGAAGAAATTATAGAGGCTGTAGCATTTCTATCACAAAAAGGTGACCAAAATGTAAAGATTAAGTGGATATTTGAATTAAATGTTTGGTCAATATTTAAACAAGGATTTGATCATCCTGTAAGTATAACAGCAGAAATTACCAGGCCTTTGGCTCCCTTTGCAGGCATTTGTAATGACATGTAGGCCTAATGTAGCCTAAATTTTTTTTTATTTTGTATTACATTATGTATTTTAACAGTGTTATTCAATCAATCATTATTGCCTCGTTGTTTTTATATAATGCATTTTAAGTCATTTTAAATGCTGTTGTTCGCTTAGGTCTGTTTTTATAACCACAAAAAAAATCTTAATACTTTGTAAACTATTATTTAAAGTAACAAAACCATGGTTAAAGGGATAGTTCACCCACAAATGAAAATTTGATGTTTATCTGTTTACCCCCAGGGCATCCAAGATGTAGGTGACTTTGTTTCTTCAGTAGTTCAACCATTGCAGTCTTTCAGTCATATAATGTAAGTGGATGGAAATCACGGCTTTGAGAGTAAAAAAAAACATACACAAACAAAACCAAATTAAACCCTGCGGCTCATTGATGTGTAAAGACACAAAACGATCGGTCTGTGCAAGAAACTGAACAGTATTTATATAGTTTTTTTACCTTAAATAAACAGCAACACAACCAAATGCTTTGTACACATTTCATAACATATGTGTTGCTTACTTCTGTATGAATTCCAGCGTAAGTATCATCTCCTCTGGGTATTTGTAGCTCACAACCGCAACAGGGGAGGAGATGTGGTCATTAACTTCTTGATCAACAGCAATCTTGAACTGCCCATCACCACAAACAAAAAAAGACATTAGAAAATTACTATATACATAACGACAAGCAGCTTTGAACACACCTTTGAAGCTGTGTTCAGCAACCAACTTCTTTTCAATATTTAACACTAATGTTAAATAAAAGCTGTTAATAAAACAGAATACAAACCCATGATAAGAATGCAGGGGTGCTTGAGAGTCACAGTACAGCAGCAATTACGTCCTGTCATTAGAAAGAAAACAAAACAAACACTATGAATGTCATGAACTGCTGTCACTTTAAAACATGACGCATATCTGACACACATCCGATCTACTCCCGTCTTTACGGTCAATTATTTTAGACTGTGTTGTTTACGAGGTCACTCGCCAACAACGGTCATTTTGGCATAATGTCGTGTACATTTGTCCATTACAGTGCGAAAGAGAACTCAATGCGCTGCTGGCGCGCTGTCTGATGTCTGATTCGTCAGATGCCCATGTTCACTCAGCCACTTCACAGACAGCCTGCTAGTAACATTACCAAATTTATTTCTCTTTTGCATGTTATGGTCCTTGTGTGTGTAAAACAAGACAATAAAAGGTCTAAACTTACCTCATTTGGCAGAAAAGGTGATAGTGTTATCCTTGAAGAATTTGCGATGCCAGATCTTCACTTAGTTGTATCTTCATCTCTTTTAAATTAAGAAAGATGTAAATGGTCTCTTCTTTTCTCGACAATTCCTCTGCCAGCTTTTGTTGAAGGCATTAAACTAACTAACGTTATGTTAGTACTGTGCTTCAGATTTATCACAACTGCTTCTCTTCAGTAATGACAGATGCTTGAAACGATATGATCAGCACTAAATACAGCGCATCAAAAACAATTAAAAGTTAATAAACAATTGAAAGAGTAACCTCCGTAAGTAAGATGTGTGACAATAAGCAGAAAAGGTTGAATGTGACGGCTCTGACATTCATTTGCCAAACAAGCCAGACCTTAACTAAATTATTGTTACGTCAACAGTTTATGTGACATTTAACAACATAGTCCATAATTTACCACGGAAGTGTAGAAACAGGTTCCCCAAATTCGAAAGCCGACTTTAAAGGGGTCATATGATG